AGCTTGTCGGTATTTAGTAGTTATTGAGGGCCGATAGTATATAGTCCACAGATCCATTATGGCTAGGAACCACTCTTCTTAGCCTGTGTTTAGCCCTTTCCCGTTCCGATGACGTATGAAAATGTACGTCATCAGTTTGTCTTCCGATTCCTGGCCACAAATGGATGGCTCGTTGAAGTGGCTCATCGCGTGGACGTGTATAGCAATCAAACACCGTAACGCATGTTGATTCTCAATGTCGAGTGAAAAACCGGAGGACCTGGAGAAAAATCCAGCAACGACCACGGAACATGCAAACTCCAAATATACAGCAGCAGGCGTCAAGGTCGAGATCGAACCCATGCCCTCCTGTATACCAGGCGAGGTCGTTAACATCTGGCCACCGTGGATGTCATTTGAAGCGGGCTATGACTTGGAAACGCACACGGAATCAGGGGCTCTGATTCCGTGTGTATCTCAACCCTGTGCTTAATTTCAGCCGGGGAACAGAACACTTTTTTCCGGAATGATCTTTGCACCCAGTCACACCCATCTCGTCTCACGTTTTCCCCACGATACTGCAGTGGTGTGCACCTACATATACAAGAAGGGAAACATAGCACACCGCGATATAGACTTGTTATAATTATGATGGGTAGGCGTATACCTTGTACTCTAGTGGTAGTGCCTTACGCGATAGTTCCGACTTCAACCCGGCTTAAAGAAGGATTGATTTGCACGGTTGACTACGCACGGTGCGAAAGAAGTTTCTACATCGAGTACGTACATTGCGGGAGTTGTTTGGGTGAGAAAAACACCTACAAGCCTTCGCTTTGTGTTTACCCTGCAACCTCTGGAATTCTCCAGGTAGAGAGAGCATCGTTCCAAACACAGCCGCAGTGCGCTCCGTTCATCCAGGCCTTGCGGTTCGCTAAGAGGCGAGGCCTGTAACTAAACACATCCCCCCCCCCACCCAGTATTGTGCTTCTCAGCCGGACAGCAGCAGCAGCAGCGAGTGGGTGGTGCCGTGTGTGCCTCTCTCTCTCTGTACGTGTACGCGAGGAGCGGTGGCGCAACGGTTGACGCCACTGCGCTGCGAACGCGGCGGCCATCTTTTCCAGTTCGACTCGCCAATAGCGACAGACATCAGTAGAGCGGTATCAGAGCTGGTTGTGTGCCTGCCATAATAGGTCTGCTGATGTTGTTGTTGTTTACGGGTTAACAACACTTGCCCCAACGGTCTGTGGATGTCTTCTATAGGGGGGCATCTGTCTTTGGAGCTACGTGCGTGTTTGTCCGTGTGTAGTGGTAGTGTAGTGGTAGTGTAGCGGGTGGCACACTGCGCTGAGAACCGGGCGACTCGAGTTGCGATTCCCGCTCACGGCCAACACCAGTCACGATCATCGGACCCGGTCGTAGGTCGACTCAGCCTCAATTTAGTACCTGCTGCGCTGCGTGCACGCTCGCCACAAGGGAGACAAAGGCGGGCGGGCGTGGTTGTGACCACCCACCCACCCCACCCTCGTGTGCCACAGTGCCGGTAGCCTTCATAGGTGCTACTCGCTAACAGCACTTGTCCCAACAGTCTGTTAAGGCTATACGGGGGATCTTCGTTGTTGTCTTCTTGGTTCTTTCGGTAAAGTCACGTAGAATGTAAATAATAAAATAATAAAAATAAAACATAATATAATAATATAATATAAAATAATATAATAATATTACGTAATATAATAATAAAATATTTTTATAATATTATATAATATAATAATTTAATATTATTATATAATTTATTATTTCCATTCTACGTGACTTTACCGAAAGAACCAAGAAGATGAATCCCTGCAGCCACGAAAGCTTTAAATCGACATTTAACACTCGTTGTTGACGCAACAGCTTTAGTAAGCGAGACGTGTCTCCGTTTGTCAATCCACCGCTTGATGAAGGCCACTCGCACGGCCGCCTCGCTCATGTTGGTTGTGGGGGGCCACCAGGGGTTGCTTGACCATACTTCACCGCGCTGGACTGTGCGCGCTGCGGAACGCGGGGGGCTCGTCAGGAGCTTCGGCCACGAATCGAACTCATTAAAGTGCAGTTCGCCAAAGGGACCGTCCATAAATGACGTCACGCGATTTTTGACGATTTTAGAACCCCCCCCCCCCTTCGTCACGCGGCGTCACAAAAAGTCAGACCCCCCCTCAAATATGACGTCACAAATCTCTGCCCCCCCCCCCCAAAAAAATATAAAACATGCTTCAAATCGCTTTAAACTATTGTCATTGTAGTGCGTATTTAATGCGGCGCTGCGCTCTGATGTTGTAGGAGAAAACATTTATTAAACGTCAATTTAATTAAGTAGAACGTGTTGTCTATATTTATTTAAAGTTGCGCATTTTGATGTGACGTCACATTTCTCAACCCCCCCCCCCCCCATCGTCACACATCGTCACAAATGTCTGACCCCCCCTCCCCCCCCAGGTGCGTGACGTAATTTATGGACGGCCCCAAACCACTGCGCCACGCATTGTAATTATTCATACAGGAGCCTTCTGCCCGTCCAAGGACGGGTGGATTGCGGTGAATCTGAAACTTGCATCAATTCGTGTGCAATCTGTAAGGGCGCGGTGACACAGACCTATTCCATGTAAAGGTTGATAATCCCTTGTTCATCATGACGTCATTTTTACTTTGATGTCTCAACAGCATCACGGAGATCACGTGACGTGAGGGATCTGCCTTGTAGTGAGGGTTGTGAGTTGACGCCGAGGGGGGGGGCAGGAGGCGCCTCGGCCCCCCCCCCCCAATGTGGAGTGACGTCACCCGCTCATGATTATTAATGAGGGGGGCTGGTCGATGTGGAGTGACGTCACTTGTGCATGATTATTAGTGAGGGGGGACAGTACTCCATATTGAGTGACGTCACCCGCTCATGATTATTAATGAAGAGGGGTATGGGGGGGTGTCCATTGGGAGGACGTCAACTGCTCATGAATATTAATGAGGGGGGCTGATCGATGTGAAGTGACGTAACGAGCGTTAAGGACAGACATTCCTGGATTATTATAGTCGGTATAATACATTTACCTATATTGCAGGCATATGTTGTATGTATATATGTGTATACATGAGATAATTGTATTCGTGTATACATTTTGCAATATGTCACGTTGTATACAAAGACAAAGATGTCCCCCATGTAGAATTGACGAGAGTACAGGGGCAAGTGCTGTTAGCGAGCAGCACCTATGAAGGCCGGGATTGTGACACACGAGGGCGTGGGTGTCCATCACCACGCACCCCACCGGTTACTTCCTTGGAGGCTGAGTTGACCTAGGAGAGGCCCGGTAGTGTTGGTTGCCATGAGCGGGAATCGAACGTGAGTGGTCGAGTTCGTAGCGCAGTGCGCTAATCACTGCACTACCGCTCCCCACCGTATACATCTACAACACACACATGGGCGTCCATAACAGAGCCTACGTCTTAAACACACATCAGCATTTCGATTTAAAGCTTTCGTGACTGCAGGGATTCATCTTCTTGGTTCTTTCGGTAAAGTCACGTAGAATGGAAATAATAAAATAATAAACTAAAACATAATAAGATAATTCTCACGACGTTTCGGCCACAACGCAAGCAGCCGTCCTCAGGTGGAGAACAGGTCTGTGTGTGTGTGCACGTGTGTGTGAACGTTCAGACTCTGTCTCCCCGACAGACCTGTTCTCCACCTGAGGACGGCTGCTTGCGTTGCGGCCGAAACGTCGTGAGAATTATCTTATTATGTTTAATTTTATTATTTTATTATTTCCATTCTACGTGACTTTACCGAAAGAACCAAGAAGACACATCAGCATCTTTGTCGGCAATAACGTAGCTATCCAGAATTCACGTCTATACATGATGCAGCCTGGCAAGAGCAACACCCCCACCCCGAGAAGCGTGCGTGCCACAACAGTTGACGGGTGCGTGTGATACAGCGTCGCTCATGTCGTTTGCTCCGAATCTAAAACCAGACGAGAGCCAGATGAGACTAAGCCGTTTGTCCTTAATATACACTCCGGGTAAAATGTTACCCCTGGGTAGATTATGTTCAGGGAAAAATATGCAAAAATGTATCAAGCAATATTAAAAAATAACAACCTACAATTAAACAATTGCATGTCTCTATATATACATACACACACGCTGCGTGGTCTTATTCTCAAAGTGACAGCGTTTAACAACAACCACCACAGCAGCAACAACAACAACCACCACAGCAACAACAACAACCACCACAGCAACAACAACAACAACCACCACAGCAGCAACAACAACCACCACAGCAGCAACAACAACAACCACCACAGCCGCAACAACAACAACCACCACAGCAGCAACAACAACCACCACCACAGCAGCAACAACCACCACCACAGCAGCAACAACAACCACCACCACAGCAGCAGCAACAACAACACATGTCGCGTTCGTGCGCCTGCTCGCTCGCTTGTTGTTGTTGTTGTTAATCGGCGCTGGGCTACAGACCCAGCTCGTGTTTTGTTTGCCAAACTTTACATCTCGAAAGCAAAGTACACTTTAACATACGTATATATATACACACACATGTGTATATATACACACACGTGTGAGTGTGTATATATACATACACATGTGAGTGTGTATGTATATATACACACATGTGTGTATATATACATACACACACACGTGAGTGTGTATGTATATATACACACATGTGAGTGTGTATCTATATATACACACATGTGTATGTCTGTACGTCCTATGGGCTAAGACGGAACCACAGCGTCATTTACATCGTGACGTGGCGAGGCGACGCGCTCGTGTCTCGGTGTTTATTTACAAGTCATTATTATCATCATCACGTATTACTATGACGTATTATCATCACGTATTACTATGACGAGTGACCCCTTTCGCGTATCGGGAACCCCTCCCGCGCTCCCACTCTCTCTCTCTCATCTCGTCGCCCCCCATCCACCTGCCCTTCCCCCCACGTCAAGCCCTACCTGAGCTCCTCATCCACGGGTAAACGGGGCCACCACCACCGCCACCACCGCCACCGCCACCGCCACCACCGCCACCACCGCCACCACCACCACCGCCACCACCACCACCGCCGCCTTGCAGAGAGGGCCTCTCTCCCCGCTGGGCCCACGCGGCCCGGGCCCCGCGCTCGAAAGCGAACGCCGCGTGAAGGCCGCGCACGAAGGCCGGGTCACCGGTGTGACCTGCGGGCGGCGGGCAGGAGGTCGCGGCGGTGCTCGGCTGCTGCAGCTGCAGCTGCTGTTGCTGCTGTTTCTCCCCGTGGGGGGCGCTCTGCCCCCCTTCATCGCCCGGGTGGTCACTGCTCCGGCGCGCCGTGGGCAGGCGGGCAGCGGCGGGGAGGCCCGTGGCGAATCGAGACAGGAGCGCGTTCACGTGCAGAGCCGAGTGCATCGTCGCGCGTACGATTTGCACGTACAGTTCGAGTGTGTAGCAGTAGTAGTAGTTGTGTGTGTGTGTGTGTGTCTCTCTGTGTGTGTGTGTGTGTTAGGCTGTGACACTGCGCGCACAAAAGTCGCAGATTTACTGTCGTGCCGGGTGCTGCTCCTCCTCCATCCCGGACGAATGCACGCGCGTCATGTGATGCTGTCCATGTGCGGTGCGGTCCACCAATGCGCCGTAGCAGAGTCGGGGTGGGGGTGGCGGGTGACGTGAATCAGGCGACTCGCGGCGGAGGAAGAGGAGGAGCGGTGGGAGTTGTGGTGAGGCGACGCGAGCGGTTTCCTGATCAGTGGTGGTGGCGGGCAAATGGAGGCACCGAGCCGGGCACGATTTCCCCGTCACCCGCTTTCACTTGTGGCCAGGTTTCGCTTCTAAAAAATATATATATTTATGGCCTTACCTGGTAAAATACAACGAGAATTATAGTTTCGTGACTGCAGGAATCTCTCTCGCCCACTTCAGCATTTTCTTACTGTGGGTGTCCCACCTGTTGAAGATTGCTTGTGTTGCGATAGAAACGTCGTGATTTGTTTAATTTTATTTTATTTCTACCTACGTGACTTTACCGAAAGAACCAAAGAGTATAAATATTGGTATACTCTTCATAGCTGTCGTGTTTTCGTATGCTTGTTGTCACCTTCTGACCCGTCCCTACTGGACATTTGTGAAAAAGAGCTTAATAACTCATCGGATTCCTCCAGTATAAAGATTCTGACTCGTTTCTTCCCGCCCCTCCCCCCTATGGGAATTTATAGCCGCCAAATAATCTGAGTGCATGCTGATTCCAAATGTGGAGGGGTTCAACCGGAGGACCCGGATAAAAACAAATCACGCGACCACGGGGAGAGTTTGCGTGTCTCTCTCCCCGTGCTCAGTCTGGGTTTTCCTCCGGGTCCTCCCTCCACATCTAGAAGGGACATCACTCGTTCAGAGTGTTTGGCTGCTGTGAATTTCCGCGTGATAAGCCATCATTTGTGTGGCCAGGTCGTGTCCGAAAAAAATATATGCTAATTCGCTCAGTGGGCCTCAACTGGTGAAATGAAACTTCCAGAAGGCTTTGCAGCTTGACGAGGAGTGCACGTGGAGGGACAGCTTTGTGACGGAGACAACGGTGTCTGGCCGTAGATGTTGTTGCATGAACTGTATGGTGACGTTGTTTCGCACTCTACGAAGCCACCTGTGCTAATGCGTTGTTGTTGTTGTTTTATTTTACTTTTATTAATTTAAATTTTTTTACCTACGTGACTTTACAGAAAAAAAACCTAAGAGTATGAATCCTTGCAGTCACGAAAGCTTCAAATCTAGAATGAATGTTGTTGTTGTGTTGCGTCCAAAGGAACGGAGGGAAGTTCAGCGCCACAACGCGGCGCAAACTTCCACCACCACCACCACCACATCCCGTGGTGGTCGCAGCTCTGAATGGACATCAGCCAAGACGCAAGAGGGAGCGGACGCGATCTCGCCCCCCGGGCCCCGAGGGTGCGACTCTCAAGCGGGGAGCCTCAACGAAGGGGGTCTTAAGCAGGGTTGCGATTTCCGCATGGAAAATGCGGAAGGAGGGTTCAAATTTTCCCGCATTTTTGCTAAAGTCAACCGCAAACGGTGGAAAGACTACTCCTATGACCGCGCGCTTTTAACAACACGTTAATGCGTTCTATTGGAAAGGATACATGCAAGGCCCAGCATCACGTAGGGCTTTGAGTTACTGATTGGAATGAATATATGATTTCCGCATTTCCGCACAAGAACCACATACTTTATTCAAATGCGGAGCCGTCATTACGAGCACATGTACATGATGTATCCTTTCCAATAGAACGCATTAACGTGTTGTTAAAAGCGCGCGGTCATAGGAGTAGTCTTTCCACCGTTTGCGGTTGACTTTAGCAAAAATGCGGGAAAATTTGAACCCTCCTTCCGCATTTTCCATGCGGGAATCGCAACCCTGCTCTTAAGACCGTTCCGTCGACACTCTCCCGCGGGGACAAACATCACGTCGACTTCATTGAAAAGTCGCGTGTCCGTGTGTTTGTGTGTTTGTGTGTTTGTGTGTTTGTGTGTTTGTGTGTTTGTGTGTTTGTGTGTGTGTGTGTTTGTGTGTGTGTGTTTGTGTGTGTGTTTGTGTTTGTGTGTGTGTGTTTGTGTGTTTGTGTGTGTGTGTGTGTGTGTGTTTGTGTGTTTGTCCGTGTGTTTGTGTGTGTGTTTGTGTGTGTTTGTGTGTGTTTGTGTGTTTGTGTGTGTGTTTGTGTGTTTGTGTGTTTGTATGTATGTCGCGGTTCGCGGCGCTGCGCGTTCGATTCCCGCTCGCTGCCAACCCCCGGTGACGATTATATCTGAATCGATCCAGGGCCTCTCTTAGGTTGACTCAGCCTCAAATGAGTACTTGGAGCGATGCGTAAGTAACGCCACTAGGGAGACAAAGGCGGGCGGGCGAGCGGGCGTGGTGCTGGCCACCCACCCCCTCGTGTGCCACAGTGCCGGCCTTCATAGGCGCTCGCTAACAGCACTTGCCCCTACAGTCTGTGCAGGCCTCACGGGGAAATCGTTGCCTTGTGTGTCGGGAGCGGTGGCGCCGCGGTTAGCGTGCTGCGCTGCCAAACCGACCACCGCTCGCGACCAATGCTCATGGCGAATATCCCAATCGGTCCCGTGCCTTCCCTGGGTCGACTCAGCGTCAAAATTAACGCCTACCTGGCGCGGTGCGTAAACACCGCCACTAGGGAGACGGAGGCGGCCGCGGCGTGGTGCTGGCCACACACCACGTGGTGTGCCCCGGTGCCGGCCTTAACAGGTGCTCGCTAACAGCACAGCGTGTTCAGAATACACGGGGGGCGGGGCGGGGGGCGGGGAATCTTTGTCTTGTCTGTGTATAGAAACAGCACCATCACCACCACCACATTACTGTAGAGTGTGGCCTGTATGCTCTCGCTGTCCTGAAGGAGGGCCATTGCCCGAAACGTTGGGCTGTTGTACACTTGTGCAGTGAGGCAGTTTTGGTGGCAAAATGTGATTTTTTAAAAGTTTAAATTAACATATTTTATGCGCCACTGTTACCGCAAAGCGTGGATACTGTAGAATTCTATTACAATAGTTTCACAAAGGATTACGATACGGTGGGCCGAGATGGTACCGTTTGTTTACATTTCAAACAATGCGCTTCGTGGTTGGTCGTTTGTGAACGCTTTTATTTTTGTTTAAATTTTTGTTTTTATTGAGCGGACGGCGCGTCTTCCTTTCAAACGGACCAAACCTTCACAGAAAATATACAAAACAAATAAAACGACGTAACATATATCGTTGTTGTTGTTGCATATTTATTTTTGTTCGTGTGTCCATGTGTGTGTGTGGATTTACATCGCTTCCGACGAATCTCTCTATACGAGTGTGCACGTTTCCGCGTGGCTTGTTCTGATTAACGAGTGCTTGATCGTAACGAGTGGTACAATTGTAAAATAAGAGAGAGAGAGAGAGAAAATAAACAAATCTTATTATGAACATGCATTAAATGCGTCGATAGAAGGAACAAAAACTATATTATATATAAAATAAAATGTTTTTTTATGTTTAGGTAGCTCATGTTGTTGGGCACGAAATTCAATCTTTCGACACAAAACAACAAAATCCGTCGATTCATTCACAGAGATCCTGCAGTGGTGAATCCTGCACGGCCTTCCAATCAACTCACTTTGAGTCCCAGTTCATGAACGGGGAGGTCCAAGAACTCCACGGCCAAATACGACCGCCGATACGTCCGCCACCCCCGAAATAATACCCGGTTCTTAATTTAGAGCGCAGAAAGTCCGGGACGTCACCTCGAATTATGTATTGGGCAGAACCACCACCGCGTCCTTATCGTCCTCAGATGGGCTGTATTTTAAACCTGTTCGTATGATTCTAGGATCATATCTACATGGTGCAATTATATGATTCGATCATACCAGGCTTTTCCAAACTCTAGTCCACGCGGCCCGCCACCGCCGCCACCACTACGCTACTTATTGCTCCCCATTCAAATACGAATTAACTCGCTGCACGCTGCACGCGTCGGATGATTGTTAAACGCGTCCCACGTGACACACGATATAAGATCGAGATCTCGGTGCGTGCGTACGCGGGCTCCGAGCGTGCGTGCACACGCGGGACGCGTGGCGCGTAGCACGTCACGTGGCGCTTAGCACGTCACGTGGCACGCGCTTAACAATCATCGGACGCGTGCAGCGCGGAACGAGTTTGGGCAACCCTGGCGTGTACCCTTGTTGTCTACGATTCCAAGGCGGCTCCATAGCAGCGTTCCGGGCAGAAATATCGAGTGAGAAATGAAGCCTTGATTTCATTCGACCACCTCTGGAAGAAAAAAAGAATACCAAAGATTGCAACCTTTGTGTGTGTGTGTCGTTGTTTGGACCCCTACCCCCACGCGAGCTTTATAAGCCACCGTGGGTCTGTCCACCATCAAAACACACGAGTTCAGACCACTCCGAGCACCCGCTTCCCAAAATCAGCGCCACGTCCCGCCTTAATGCACTTTGACGTCGCGTGTACACACACACACAAACACACACAAACACACACAAACACACACAAACACACACACGCACATGCCTCGCTCTCACACACACACACACAAACACACACACAAACACACACACGCACATGCCTCGCTCTCACACACACACACACACAAACACACACACAAACACACACAAACACACACACGCACATGCCTCGCTCTCACACACACACACAACACACACAACACACGCACATGCCTCGCTCTCACACACACACACACAAACACACACACAAACACACACAAATACACACAAACACACACACGCACATGCCTCGCTCTCTCACACACACACACAAACACACACACAAACACACACACAAACACACACACAAACACACACACACACAAACACACACACAAACACACACACGCACATGCCTCGCTCACAAACACACAAACACACACACTCACATCGCTCACACACAAACACACACACACAAACACACACAAACACACACACAAACACACACAAACACACACACGCACATGCCTCGCTCACAAACACACACACACCGCTCACACACACACAAACAAACACACACCGCTCACACACACAAACACACACAAACACATACACAAACACACACAAACACACACACAAACACACACACACGCACATGCCTCGCTCTCACACACACACACACACCATTCACACACACACACAAACACATACACACAAACATACAAACACACACACACGCACATGCCTCGCTCACAAACACACACACACCGCTCACACACACACAAACACACACACCGCTCACACACACACACAAACACACACACACCGCTCACACACACAAACACACACACACGCACATGCCTCGCTTACAAACACACAAACACCGCTCACACACAAACACACACACCGCTCACACATACACAAACACACACACCGCTCACAAACACACACACACGCACATGCCTCGCTCACAAACACACACACACCGCTCACACACACACAAACACACACACCGCTCACAAACACACACACACGCACATGCCTCGCTCACAAACACACAAACGCACATGCCTCGCTCACAAACACACAAACACACACACTCACACCGCTCACACACAAACACACACACCGCTCACAAACACACACACGCACATGCCTCGCTCACAAACACACACACACCGCTCACACACACACAAACACACACACACCGCTCACACACACAAACACACACAAACAAACACGCACAAACACACACACGCACATGCCTCGCTCACAAACACACAAACACACACACACCGATCACACACAAACACACACACCGCTCACAAACACACAAACACACACACCGCTCACAAACACACAAACACACACACACCGCTCACACACACAAACACACACCGCTCACAAATACACAAACACACACACACACCGCTCACACACACAAACACACACCGTTCACAAACACACACGCAAACAAACACACACACAAACACACACACGCTCACACACACAAACACACAAACACACACACACTGCTCACACACACAAACACACACACCGCTCACACACACAAACACACACACCGCTCACACACACAAACACACACACACCGCTCACACACACAAACACACACAAACACACCGCTCACACACAAACACACAAACACACACACCGCTCACACACACACCGCTCACACACACAACACACCGCTCACACACATACAAACACACACACAAACACACACACACCGCTCACACACACACACAAACACACACACCGCTCACACACACAAACACACACACCGCTCACACACACAAACACCGCTCACACACACAAACACACACACCGCTCACACACACAAACACACACACCGCTCACACACACAAACACACACACCGCTCACACACATACAAAAACACACACCGCTCACACACATACAAAAACACACACAAACACAGACACCGCTCACACACACGCCTCACTCACACACACACAAACACACCGCTCACACACACAAACACCGCTCACACACACACACAAACACACACACACACAAACACACACACACACTGCTCACACACACACCGCTCACACACACAAACACACCGCTCACACACATACAAACACACACACAAACACGCTCACACACACACACAAACACACACACCGCTCACACACACAAACACACACACCGCTCACACACATACAAAAACACACACACCGCTCACACACACACACAAACACACACCGCTCACACACACGCCTCACTCACACACACACAAACACACCGCTCACACACACACACACAAACACCGCTCACACACACACACAAACACACACACTGCTCACACACACACCGCTCACACACACACACAAACACACACACACCGCTCACACACACACACAAACACACACACACCGCTCACACACACAAACACGCACACGCCTCGCTCACACACCGCTCACACACACACCGCACACACACAAACACACAAACTGCTCACACACACAAACACACCGCTCACACACTGCTCACACACACACCGCACACACACGCCTCGCTCACACAAAGACAAAGATCCCTCGTATAGCCTGCACAGACTGTTGGGGCAAGTGCTGTTAGCGAGCACCATCTCTGAAGGCCGGCACCGCGCGCGAAGGGTGGCCACCAGCACGCCCCCACCGCTGACATCTCCCAGGTGGCCACGTTTACACACTGCACCAGGTACTCATTTAAGGCTGAGTCGACCTAAGGGAGGCACAAAGCCCAGTTCGGATAATCGCTGTCACTGGTGTTGGTGGCCGTGAGCGGGCATCCACCTTTTTCTCGGCTCGCCGGATTCGTAACGCAGCGCGCTAACCGCTACGCCACCGCTCCCCAAACACACACACGTTCACACGCAGACGCTCACACGCAGACGCTCACACGCACACGCTCACACGCTCACACGCACACACGCACAAGCTCACACGCAGACGCTCACACGCTCACACGCACACTGCTCACACGCACACACACGCTCACACGCACACGTTCACACGCACACGTTCACACGCACACACGCACACGCTCACACGCTCACACGCACACACGCACACGCTCACACCCTCACACGCACACACGCACACGCTCACACGCACACACGCACACGCTCACACGCACACACGCTCACACTCTCACACACGCACACGCTCACACGCACAGACATCGCAATCCGCACACTGCGGTTTTTGTTTCGCTTCACAGAGGCGGGTGTAATAATCACGATCATCATTATTATTTGACGAGGCCAGATTTAAGGTGGGTGTTTTTGTTTTGTTTTCTTCTTTTTGCCCGTTCGAACCAGGCTGACGACTCGCTCTCGGATCGTCGCCGTCGTAGATCACCGCCAGGCGAGTCGAGAGCCGGAGAGGGGGGGGGGGGCGGTCACGCATCCGGCGACAGCAGAGCGGACGATGGTTGTGCGCGCTGCTCTTCGTCAGGTCCGATGTTGAACTTCGTTCGCACCGTACGCAGCAAACGGTGCTCATTGGAGGTGCGGGGGAGGGGGGGTAGGAGAACAAACTAAGCGCGCTCTGCCCTCACGCTTGCGGACTTGCCACGCGCGCCACAGCCTCCCCCACCCCACCCCCCTTCCGTGCTGCTCCATCACCACCGTCACCATCACCGTCATCATCACCAATCATCACCAATCATCACCAATCATCACCAATCACCACCAATCATCACCAATCATCACCAATCGCCACCGATCGTCATTCCGCATCCTCGTTCTTCGAGGTGCCCTCCGAGCCCTCGTCCGCCGAGTTGTCGTCGGCTTTGTCGGGCTCCTTGAGCAGCATGTCCTCCTTCCGCGCCGGAAACTTGTCCCTGTGGTTCTCTTTCTTCCACTTCATGCGCCGGTTCTGGAACCAGATCTTCACCTGGCGCTCGGTGAGGCCGAGCGCATGCGACACCTCGATGCGCCGCTTGCGCGTCAGGTACGGGTTGAAGAGGAACTCCTTCTCCAGCTCCAGGGTCTGGTAGCGCGAGTACGTCTGGCGGCCACGTCGCCTGCCCGGTCCCACTGCGAGACACACGGACAGCAGAATGAACTCAGGCACGAGCAAGTTTTAATTATTATGTTACGTGGTTAAGGTCCACTGAGCTGCTACATCGTTGTTTTGAAGAAGCGGCCTGATGGCTTATCACGAGGACATTTCTAGCAGCCAAATACTCTGAACGCGTGATGTTGATTCCAAATGCGGAGGGAAAAACCGGAGGACCCGGAAAAAAATTCACGCGACCACGAGGAGAGAGACACGAAATCTCCCCGCGTGGTCGCGTGGATTTCTTTGTTTGCATCCGGGTCCTCCGGTTTTCCCCTCCACATTGAGAATCCACATACACTTAGAGCATTTGGCTGCTACACATTTCCACGTGATGAGCCACTTTTGTTGAGCGTATCATTTGTGTGGCCAGGCCGCTTCTTAAAAAGAGCTTACGTAGCTCAATGGGGTCTTACCTGGTGAAATAAAAAATAATTGTTAAGTTTTAAAACAGCCCCAGCCTGACGAAGCTGCAAATCGCTGTGGTGCATATCTGCTGCCCTTTTTAAATCCTTTATATTAAGTTCGCTTGCTTGCTTGCTTGCGTGCTTTCGTGCTTGCTTGCTTACGACCGTGCAAATCTTTCGGTCGTTTTTTAACCCACTTCCCGTGATCCAATCGAGCTGACATTTTGCACACAGACTCGTTGTGCGTGACAATTAATGTTCGTGAACATTTTTTCCCAAAAATTTACACTGTTTAGGGAAAACAAATTAAATATTTAATTACCAATAGCTTAATACTGGCAGACAATCATCTGACCAATAGGTGGCAGCCATCTCAAGCCAGAGGACGAGAGGACTCTAGCCGCCACGCATATAAAGGATTTATAGTGAAAAACTTTGTTTTTACGGGTTATACTTTTTACAACACCGCAACTCGCGTGCGGTCATGGTTACTGCCCTCACACGAACCGTAGCCGCTGCCCGACCACGCGGGCAGCATCTCTGCTGCCCTCCGCCGCGACGCAGCCGCGGGCATAACGGAACGCCCCACGCGTTAAGGGCACATGCTGGACTCGAGAACAAAACTTATCCGTATTCTTAGATTTTTTCGGTAAAGTCACGTAGGTAAAACATTACAATTAATAAAAGTAAAATAAAATAAGAATCACGACGTTTCGGAGGCAACACAAGCTTCCGTCTTCAGGTGGAACCGTCACAGCCACGACAGCTGTAGCAAGTACTTGATATGAATCCTTGCAGTCACGAAAGCTTCAAATCTAGAAAACGTATCCGCTACCAGTAAATGCTGCTGTCCTACACGGCACAGACGCTGCCAAGCAATGCCGCCCTTCCACGCGACGCAACCGCTGTTAGTCAATGCTGCCCTTTAACAGCATTATATACTGTACAGTATATACTGTTTATATATACGGAGTGGCGCAAACGTCAGGATAAACAGGGTCATTATCCTTATTTTTTTTACAAATCACGCAGGGTCATTTAATGTATTTTAACACATTTTCAAAACCGACTCGCATCACACGCGAATGCACGGTGCACGAATCCTCTTTTGAAATGAATTTGAGGACGTTGCCAACGTAAATATAGTGACATAACCCCATGTGTCCAGACATTTGGGCCACCCTGTCCATCAATATACACACACACCACGACAATGACTACTGCTGGTAAGGATCATCCGTGCGACGTACGCAAGTGTGTACGTTGAACTTATTCCGCAACCGTACGCAGCCCACGCGAACTGAACACCGATCCCTACGCGGACACACGGAGCAGCGCCACCGTGACCGCCATCGTCACCAAGCGCGACGCGGCCGCTCAGTCGGCGCAGGTCGCGGTCCTCCCCGCATCGGAGGGACCGCGTAGAGAGGAAGGACGTCTGGAGGCACCGCCGCAACAACAAAGACAAAGATTCACACCCCCACCCCCGTATAGCCTCAACATACAGTTGGGGCAAGTGCAGCTAGCAAGCACCTATGAAGGCCGGCACGGCACGCGAGGGGGGGGGGGGGGGTTTGGGTGGCCAGCACCACGCCCGGCCGGCTTTGTCTCCCCGAGTGTCGGTGTGTTCTACACACCGCACCGGCTGCTCGTTCGAGTGCCGAGCCGACCGCCGCTAAGCGCGCCCCCAAGACCGTTCCGGGGGATCCTCAACGGCGTTGTCCGCGAGCGGGAATCGAACTCGGGCGCGCCGGGTTCCGGGTTCGCAGCGGTCAACACGCTGACCGCTGACGCCACCTGCCCCCCCTCCACCCCCTCGCAACGAGCGCGCGCACACGGAGGAGGCGCGCGCGCGCGCTCCCCAGCCGATCGAGAAGTGACAATGGCCCAAAATGACAATGCAATGCCGGGGGCTTGTTGACGCTTGAATCATCCCTGGGCCAGCAGTCCACGCACCATCGCACGGCCTTCCCTGGGTCGACTCAGCCTCAAATGAGTACGAGGGAAGACAAAGACGGCCGGGCGTGGTGCTGCTCACCCACCTACCCCCCCCCAGGCCTTCATTTGTGTGCCCGCGAACAGCACTTGCCTCGAAAGTCTCTTGAGGCTATACTGGGGAGCATTGTCTTTGTCTTCTATGGAGAGATGTTTTTTCGGTAAAGTCACGTAGGTAAAAACATTAAAAGAGTAAAATAAAATAAAAAAATTAAAATAAAATAAAAAAAATATTTTTTTATTTTATTTTACTTTTTTTAATGTTTTTACCTACGTGACTTTACAGAAAAAAACCTAAGAATATGAATCCTTGCAGTCACGAAAGCTTCAAATCTAGAATGGAGAGATGTCGTCATTGCATCGTAACTTCTCGGCGTACTTGTGGGAACGTGCTCTAATCAATGGCATTCGTAGTGTTTTTACAATGACATGATGTCTATATTGTGCAGCCAACTCATGATGATTATATGTTATATATATATACATATACCGTGTCGCAAGAGAGAGAGAGGCGGACGTGGTCAATGAGAGTTAACGTGACGCAGTTTGGGCAGCTGTCGACAGCACGCCCGTGTGTGTGTGTTCGTATGTTGTGGTGCCTCGGCTCGTCTGCTGCTCACAAGCAACAACAATTATGAATATCTGAACCAGTCGTGGCCTTCCCTAGGTCCACTCGGCATGCAATTGAGCACCTGGTGTGGCGCGCAAAAACATATCGGTAGTGGGGAGACAAAGGCGGTGGGACGCGATTGTGTCCACACACTCGCTCGTGTGCCGTGCCGGCCTTGACTGCGACTCGCTCATAGCAGCTCCTCCCAGCAGTATGCGAGAGACTTTGTCTACATGCTGTAGACATCACATATTCGTCTTTACTTTAGGTGCATTTAACTGCTAGGTACTAGAACCCCAGTGTCTGATTGAACGCCTTTGCCATGCAAAGCGCATGGCATTTGTGTTTTGATCGGTATGCGAGACGTCTCTTTGCCAAGCTATCGGTCTATTCTGCGTACACTTGTATCCATGTCTGCGAAAGAGGTTCAACATCCATGCATCGTGTTCGGTGGCCCGTGTTGCTAGACCTTCTCGTTTGATCTAATCGTAAAATACCCGTCCTAATTATCGTAAAAATGACTATATATTTTTCGATTTAAAGCTTTTGTGACTGCAGGGATTCATCTTCTTGGTTCTTTCGGTAAAGTCACTTTACCGAAAGAACCAAGAAGATGAATGACAATATACCCCGTTACTTTCTATACACAAAAAATCGACGACAGCCCCCAATGGGTCTTCAGAACTCATTTTCCTTCGACAAGATGCTGGCCCGGAGTGGTTCGACCTGCGAGTGATTCGTGACCACAATCGCCTGGCGCGCGTGACGGCGCCGTCTCATCCGTGACCCAACGACGGGCAGCTGCTCGTCATCGAGTTGTCCACATTCCTGGCGCACTTGGGAGCGGACGGGTGCGTACGGAGACGTTGCGGAAACCACCTCGATAGGGGCCCCGATGACATCGCTCGCTGCAGTCGCGAGGCTATTACGCGCGGTTCGCTGTCCGCGTGCAGTTCAGCGCCCAGCAACTTCTGGGCACGCTCGTGGCCACTGGAGCAGATGCACTTGCAACATCTCGATTGAAAACTATATTTCTTCAGAAGTGCTTTTATCCAGTGTTGGGGTTGTTTGCCTTTCCCCCCGCACCTCCGACTAGCGCGCGCGGTCGGCTACGTGCGGTGCGAAAGAAGTTTAACATACTGTACATACACACGTAGCCGATATCGTTATAGTATATACGGTAATACCCCGGTTAACGTCGGGGATGCGTTCCTGCACAGGCGCGATGACGAATATCGAAGCGACGTCAATCGAAGCGATTTGCAGGGTAGTGGTGGTGGTGGTGGAGGTGGTGGTGGAGGTGGTGGTGGAGGTGGTGGAGGTGGTGGTGGTGGTGGTGGTCGTGGTGGTGGTGGTGGAGGTGGTGGAGTTGGAGGTGGTGGTGGTGGTGGTGGTGGTGGAGGTGGTGGTAGTGGTGGTAGTGGTGGTAGTGGTGGTGGTGGAGGTGGTGGAGGTGGAGGTGGTGGAGGTGGTGGAGGTGGTGGTGGAGGTGGTGGAGGTGGTGGTGGAGGTGGTGGTGGTGGAGGTGGTGGTGGTGGAGGTGGTGGTGGTGGAGGTGGTGGTGGTGGAGGTGGTGGTGGTGGAGGTGGTGGTGGAGGTGGTGGTGGTGGTGGTGGAGGTGGTGGTGGTGGTGGAGGTGGTGGTGGTGGAGGTGGTGGTGGAGGTGGAGGTGGTGGTGGTGGTGGAGGTCGTGGTGGAGGTGGTGGAGGTGGTGGAGGTGGTGGTGGTGGAGGTGGTGGAGGTGATCATCACAAAGTGACGACGCGTTTGCGAAACGACGTGAAACGGGGGCAGACGGTAAATTGGGGCGTAAGAAAAAGGATTTCACCCTTTTCTGGCAATAAAACAATTGTGCTCAGATGTTAAAACATCAAACGGAAACTTTTTGCAGGGAGTCATGTCCGCATGAACCACGCGTATATGTGGTGAACATGCAAAAATAAAGCATGCTCTCATATGCATTGTCTTGACAATGTCCACCACAAGGACGCGTGGTTGATGCAGACACGGTTCCTTTCGAAAGGTTTCCGTTTGGTGTTTTAACATCTCAAACACAACTGTTTTATTAGCCGAAAGGGTAAAGCCCCATGATTATATTTCGATACTGGCAAGGGAGGTGCCGTGATGTAAATTGGGGGTATTGCTGAGTTTGTCTGATCGAGAGCATTGTCGTTTTGCGGTTCGTTTTGACCATACTTCACCACGCTCGTCAACGCGGGTCAACGAACGAGGGATGGCCCGCGCCAGGACAGGCTCAGATAGAACTCGCAGCTGATGGTTTTAGCCGTGGTCCGAAATCGAACTCGGCTCACTGGGTTCATCATAGCGCAGTGCGCTGACCACAAAGCCACCGCTCCCATCCCTCCTCCTCGTTCCCGCTCACCCCCATATACGAGAGATATAGAACAAATAGCCATGCACAGTTATGTCGGTGCTGTCTTAGTACCAAAAAGAGCGTCACCCGGTGCGAGTTCGTCTCGAGTGGCGACCCCGAGCCCATCGAGGGAACTCCCACGTGACTGTGGCAGGATCCGTGTTCAGGTGACACACAATAGCACCGACAATTGAGCACGAAGTCCTCTTGGACAGTGAGCTCGAGCGGTTAATCAAAACAAACAAACACAAACAACCACGGATCAACGTGAGCTCTTAAATGATCGTGAGCATTTGAAGAAGAAACAAAACGTTTCCTTCACAACGCAACGTCGGTAAGTTGAACTTTATTCACCCACCCCCCAAACGCTGAGTAACTTATACGAGTTATTTACGGAGAGAGTAGTCCACATGCGGCGATGAGCAGTGTCTCGGGTGGCTGTGGGGATGGAGCCGTGGTCAAGTGGGTTGTGAGCGCACTGCGACTTGGAACGAGGTCACCTGAGCTCGACGATTGAAATCAGTGCGGGGATAATATCCAAAATCACCGCACTGCGCTACTAGGAACCCGTTTTAACACGCAGTCGCAGTAGTAGTAGGCTGTTGCGAGCAATATCATCCATAATACAGGTGGTTGTAGTTACTGGCGAAACGTCGAACTCAGATTGTAAATGTTGTGGCTTGGCTCTTCAACACGTTGGTTATGCTGTAGTATTATACTACACTATACACTACTATACACTACACTATACACTACTATACACACACTATACACTACTATACACTACACTATACACTACACTATACACTACACTATACACTACTATACACTACACTATACACTACTATACACATACTATACACTACTATACACTACACTATACACTACTATACACTACACTATACACTACTATATACTACACTATACACTATACACTACACTATACACTACTATACACTACACTATACACTACACTATACACTACTATATACACCACTATACACTACTATACGCACACAATACACTACTATATACACACACTATACACTACTATACACACACTATACACTACTATACACTATACACTACACTATACACTACTATACACTACACTATACAATACTATGCACTACACTATACACTACTATACACTACCACTATACACTACACTATACACTACACTATACACTACTATACACTACTATACACACACTATACACTACTATATACCCCACTATACACTACCATATCACTATACACTACTATACACTACACTATACACTACTATAAACACACTATACACTACTATACACTACACTATACACTACTATATACCCCACTATACACTACACTATACACTACACTATACACTACTATACACTACACTATACACTACTATACACTCCACTATACACTACTATACACTACTATACACTACACTATACACTACTATACACTACACTATACACTACTATACACTACACTATACACTACTATACACTACACACTATACACTGCTATACACAACACTATATACTACTATACACACACTATACACTACTATATACTACACTATACACTACAAATACACACACTATACACTACTATACACTACACTATACACTACTATACACTACTATACACACACTATACACTACTATATACTACACTATACACTACTATATACCCCACTATACAGTACTATACACTATACACTACTATACACACACTATACACTACTATACACACACTATACACTACTATACACTATACACTACTATACACACACTATACACTACTATACACTACACTATACACTACTATATACCCCACTATACACTACACTATACACTACACTATACACTACTATACACTACACTATACACTACTATACACACACTATACACTACTATACACACACTATACACTACTATATACCCCACTATACACTACTATACACTATACACTACTATACACTACACTATACACTACTATACACTACACTATACACTACACTATACACTACTATACACTACTATACACTACCTATACACTACTATACACTACTATACGCTACACTATACACTACTATACACTACACTATACACTACTATACACTACACTATACACTACACTATACACTACACTATACACTACACTACACACAAGTGCTGTACTAGTGACGAATTGGCCACGTTCTGTTTACGTGGCAAACCTTATTAATTGGCCGTGTCGGGTGGTGGCGGGTTTAACGACACATTTATACATTTACGCGATCTCACCCAAAAAAACATCGATTATCTATGATGAACTCATCGACCCAAGTTCGATTTCCAGCCACGACTAATACAACACCGGCGGCAAGTGATACCCGGACCAGTCCTTGCGTGGGCCACCTCCGTTCACCAATCCCCAGCACTGATCAGCATTGGTGAAGTATGGTCAAACAACTCACGTGAACTGCACGGTACGAGGAGGAGTGGGGGGGGGGGCTTCATCCAGCAGTGGAACGACAGAGAGATGTGCATCAAGATGAATGTATCCCCTTGCAATGCACGCGATGTCTTGCGATGCTGATGTTCTGATTCCCGTGCATGCGGACACGGTGGACGAATTCCCTGCGTCTGAACAATATCGCCACCCTCGCAGCCCTGCTCCCTTTCGCTGCATCGAGTGTGCGTGGCTAAAACTGAAAGCGTGCAGACAAACCACCCCCCCACACACACTCTCTCTTTACCCTGTCCATCGATTGAAATCGCCGCTCAAATTTATATCAAGTAAAAAAAAACTAAATACGCGTACGCATAAAAAATGACGAACGAGGTGGACTTTCGCTCACACGTCTCGAGTTCACGTCATTTGAGCGTGCGGTTTAAATATCCGGTACACACACATGCCTCGTTTGTTATTATTATTATTATCATAATCAACAAATTTCGCTCGTGATGAACCGAGGGGTAACTGCCCCCATCGCGTGCCACGTGAATCAACCTACCTGTAGTGACCGGCCGAGTCAAATTCTCGCAAACTTATTTATTGACTTACACATATACACAACACCGTACATATATGCATTTTTTAACACGACTTGTTAAAACCATAATAAACACGACAATACCTCTCTCTCTCTGTGATATGCGTGGCGACAAACTCTTTAAGCGCTAGTCTGCGCGCGTGTGTGTGTGTGTGTACGCGCGCGAGTCTCAAGCATAATATTGCTCCCGTTCTCTCATTCAGCGCGCTCGCTTTTACGACTGTAAAATACAGCCGCAGTCCGGCCCCTTCTCCTGTTCAAAAAAATATGGAGTCGTAAACGACGCCGAAGCCGTGTGCGCAGGCTGCTCTCTGAGTTATGTACACACACACAGAGAGAGAGGCAGACGCACAGAGAGAGGCAGACGCACACAGAGAGGCAGACGCACAGAGAGAGTCAGATGCACACACAAAGAGATGCAGACGCACAGAGAGAGTCAGACGCACACAGAGAGAGAGGCAGACGCACAGAGAGAGGCAGACGCACAGAGAGAGGCAGACGCACAGAGAGATGCACACGCACAGAGAGAGGCAGACACACACACAGAGAGAGAGAGGCAGACGCACAGAGAGAGTCAGACGCACACAGAGAGAGATGCAGACGAACACGTGCGCACGTATGTACTGCTCGCTGCCCCGCTAACCTTGGCTCCTCATCCACGGGAAGAGCGGCGCTGATGACGCCCCCTGCCCAGGGAACTCCACCTCGTCCTCCGCGCAGGGCCCCAGAGCCTTGAAGTCGGCGTGGTATTGAGCCGCTACTCCTCCACCGCCACCGCCGCACTCCGACTGCAGGGCGAACACCGGCTGCCTCCCGCACGGGAACGCAGCGTAGCCGTAGAAGTTGGCCGACGGTTCGAGCGCGGCGCACGAACCGGGCTGCGGGTACGCGGCCGATCCGGACCCTCCGTGCTGCTGTTGCTGCTGTTGGTGGTGGTAAAAGTCCTGGGGGTGGTGGTGGTGGTGGGACCCCGCGCCGCCATGCGCCATCCCGGACGGCAGATCGAATCCTGCCGCGGCAGCCGCGGCGGCTGCTGCTGCGGCTGCCGCGGCAGCAGCGGCCGCAGCGGCGGCTCCGCCGTGCCCCGCGGGTCCGTAGAAGACCGCCTGACGGGCGCTCATCCCGTCTGCGCCCAGGCGGCAGTCGTAGTAGGTGGGGCGCATCGCCTCGCCGGCCTTGTACTTGCCGAAGAGGGAGTTCGCGAAGTAGGAATTCATCGGGAGGTCGTGGAAGGAGGGAGACGGCGGGCGACGCCTGAGCCGTGGGTAGGCGTCCCTCCAACCCCAACCACCGTCCCACCCCCCCCCAACTCGGTCAGTCACACGACGGCCTGCGCATCGAGCAGGAGGAGGAGGAGGGCGCGCGGCACGGAATTCTCGACGCGGCGCGGGCTCCCATGGATGATCACGACGGCAGCTGCTGCAGCTGCTGCTGCTCTCTTCCTCGATGCGTATTTAGGTTAGCGCGGCCATTTAGGCCTATAACACGTAAGGGTGCGGGGGGTGGGGGGCTGGGGGTTCGTAAACCCCCCCCCCCCCCACCAACAACAAAAAATCCGGTCTCTCGCTGCACGTCGGTGATCAAATGTCGTATTTACCCCGCCGAGTCTCGGCGGTCACAGCGTGGGATTTACTGCCACGCACCGCGCCGCTCCATGGAGCTGCTGCTGCTGATGATGCTGATGCTGCTGCGCTTCCAACCACAACCACCACCACCACCACCCCCGCCGCACCTCTTCCCCCACCACCGCCTCCAACTTCCCCCCCCCCCCCCCAGCTCCTACCATCCTCCCGCTGCAAGCAAATGGAAATATCGAGGCGGATTAATACGTCGCAGCGACAAAAGATGACAGACTTCACGCGCCGCGCGCTAAAACCAAAAACATTATAATAACCGGACGCACGTGTGCGGCCAAAAGATGAAATTCGACACCCCACCTCACCCCCAGAGGTGGTGTGTCAGCATCGAAATCGGCTCTGCCGCAAAACGTTTCGTGCGCATCGCCGAGTGACGATCGTTTCAAAGTTCGCGCAGGGTGATTGCTTTGCGCGCACAAACACAAAAACAACAAGCTGCGAGGCAGCATGACGACTGCCAAGACTTCGGCTGCAACTGAAGGAACTGAAGAGTTGTTCGTAGACACGTGGTCGCAATACCTGGCCGCATGTCCATGCGGATTTGTGTGTTACACCTGGACCTGTGTGTGTGTGTGTGGGGAGCGGTGGGGTAGTGGTAGTAGGTGCCTGTGTGTGCGTGTGAGGAGCGGTGGGGTAGTGGTAGTAGGTACCTGTGTGTGTGCGTGTGGGGAGCGGTGGGGTAGTGGTAGTAGGTGCCTGTGTGTGCGTGTGAGGAGCGGTGGGGTAGTGGTAGCAGGTACCTGTGTGTGTGTGTGGGGAGCGGTGGGGTAGTGGTAGCAGGTACCTGTGTGTGTGTGTGTGGGGAGCGGTGGGGTAGTGGTAGTAGGTGCCTGTGTGTGTGTGTGGGGAGCTGTGGGGTAGTGGTAGCAGGTACATGTGTGTGTGCGTGTGGGGAGCGGTGGGGTAGTGGTAGCAGGTACCTGTGTGTGTGTGTGTGGGGAGCGGTGGGGTAGTGGTAGTAGGTGCCTGTGTGTGCGTGTGAGGAGCGGTGGGGTAGTGGTAGCAGGTACCTGTGTGTGTGTGTGTGAGGAGCGGTGGGGTAGTGGTAGTAGGTGCCTGTGTGTGTGTGTGTGGAGCGGTGGGGTAGTGGTAGCAGGTACCTGTGTGTGTGTGTGGGGAGCGGTGGGGTAGTGGTAGCAGGTACCTGTGTGTGTGTGTGTGGGGAGCGGTGGGGTAGTGGTAGTAGGTGCCTGTGTGTGTGTGTGGGGAGCGGTGGGGTAGTGGTAGTAGGTGCCTGTGTGTGTGTGTGTGTGGGGAGCGGTGGGGTAGTGGTAGCAGGTACCTGTGTGTGTGTGTTGGGAGCGGTAGGGTAGTGGTAGTAGGTGCCTGTGTGTGTGTGTGTGTGGGGAGCGGTGGGGTAGTGGTAGCAGGTACCTGTGTGTGTGTGTGGGGAGCGGTGGGGTAGTGGTAGCAGGTACCTGTGTGTGTGTGTGTGCGGAGCGGTGGGGTAGTGGTAGCAGGTACCTGTGTGTGTGTGTGTGCGGAGCGGTGGGGTAGTGGTAGCAGGTACCTGTGTGTGTGTGTGGGGAGCTGTGGGGTAGTGGTAGCAGGTGCCTGTGTGTGTGTGTGTGGGGAGCGGTGGGGTAGTGGTAGCAGGTACCTGTGTGTGTGTGTGGGGAGCGGTGGGGTAGTGGTAGTAGGTACATGTGTGTGTGTGTGGGGAGCGGTGGGGTAGTGGTTAGCGCGCCGCGCTACGAACCCCAGCGACCCCAGTTCGAAAGCCGCTTACGGCCACCGACACCCATTGACGATTTTCTGAACCGGTCACGGGCCTCCTCTAGGTCGACTCAGCCTCAAATAAGTACCGAGTGCGGTGTTTAAAAGCATGGCTACGTTGGATACCGAGGCCGCAGGGCGTGGTTCTTGCCACACCACCCACTTCATGTACCGTGGCAGCCTTCATTGATACTGCTCGCTAACAGCACTTGCCCCGACAGTACTGTTAAAGCTATACGGGGGGTCTTTGTCTTTATTTGTGTTGTCTTGCGACGGGAGCATAACGTATACACAGGATGATGATGATGTGTTGCGGTGTGGTAGTGGTGTTTTTACCTGCGCGGTGTGGTGGGTGTCGTGCGTGTGAACGCAGCTGACGCAGCAGCGAGCAACCCGCGTCCCCAGCTGACGAGCAACCCCGTGGAGACGGAGCTAACTCGAGCCATCTCGCAGGCCTCCGATTCAAAGTCAAAACCGACTCCAATCACCAAATCTCTCTCGCCAGCCGCGCCTGCTCTCAACGGGTGCTCGCTCACAATACTTGGCTCCCCACGTGGTCCGGGGGGCTGTTCGGCTTGAACGGCGTGCGGTCATCGATTGTCGGTGTCTCCTGCGAGGCCTTCATTTCAGACCTTGAACACTCTCCACCCCACCACGTGTTCCTCCGAATTCATTTGGCGAAACTCGTGCCCAGGTCCTCTCCGTCACCAAACACTGAGCGAGAGGTTCGGGGCGGGGGGGGGGTGAGAGACGGGGGAATCGTCAATGAAACGTGACGCGTCTTTTCGACGAGACGTGATTCTTGTTGGCCCTTCGGTGTGGAACATAGCGATGATCAGCAGCAACAACAACAGCAACAACAACAGCAACAACAACAACAACAGCAACAACAACAGCCGCAGTTTACCACGAAGTGACGGTGCCGTCACCACGGTGTTTGCGCCATGCTAGGTGCACTTTGATGATTTCTATTTACGCGGTCTAACCCCCAAATAAAAGACATTGTTATTCACTTTGATGATCAGCAAAGATAAAGACCCCCCCTCCCGACTCCCCCCACACTTTAGCCTTAACAGACTGCTGGGGGAAGCGCTGCTAGTTCACAGCACCTATGAAAGCCGGCACTGTGGGCCCACGACGGAGGGTGTGTGACCAGCACCACCACGCCCGGCCGCCTTTGTCTCCCCGGTGGCGATGTTTACTACACAACCGCGTAAGGTATGCGTTTGAGGCTGATTCGACCTTATGATCATCGCACAAACACACACACACGCGCGCGCGCAGTTACTTATATCGTCTGTCTTTCATTATAATTTCCACCTCTGATGCTTTCCGAACTTTGCCTTCACCACGCATTGAAGGACGCCTCTCCCGCAACAGGGAGAGGGGGTGGTTGGTGGTGAGGGGTCCAGCTTGGCCATACTTCACCTCGATTTGGCAGACAGTGTGGATGAGTGGAAGATCCAAACATCCATCTACCGGCGGCGCACGAGGCTGCTCTGGCCGCAGAGATGGAGCGGTGGATGGATCCGATGTTGGAGGAACGTTTGAGACGGCTACAGCGCGTTTCATCCAGCAGTGGAGAGATCATGGCTGATGATACTTAAACGAGTGTACTTCGTATACGGTGTGTATATATAAGAAACATATCCGGAACGTAACACTGCGCTGGTGAGCGGAGCAAGTGGTATGTTAGCTACGAATGCACCGATTGGATACGCTCAGGCGAGCGTACAAACGGCACGGCGCCTGAGCTACCGCGCGGTACATTTGCGGAACGGGCCTCCGCCAAGTGGGAGCTCTTGGGGCGGACTTGGTCTCCTCTTCCACGTTTGTGGTGCAGCCCATTTTTAAATCCTTTATATTAAGTTCACTTGCTTGCGCGCTTACGACCGTGCAAATCTTTCGGTCGTTTTTTAACCCACTTCCCGTGATCCAATCGAGCTGACATTTTGCACACAGACTCGTTGTGCGTGACAATTTAATTTCGTGAAATTTTTTCCCCAAAATTTACAACTTTTTAGGAATTTTTTTTTATATTTAATTTAAAATATTAATGTGATAAAATGAAACTCTTACTCAAGAAAAACAGAAATGAGTAATAAAATAAAACCGATGCCACGCATATAAAGGATTTATAGTTTTTACGGGTAAAATTTTTATTGCTGAGCGAACCAGATGATTTTAATGAAAACTTGTCCCCATCGAATCGGACAGGCCAACTCCGGATTTCAAGTCCAGTGCGCTGACCATTCCAGCGGTGGGGCTTCTCCCACCTTTCTTTCCTTTTTCAGTTCAAAAGATTTAAAAAACTTGTTTGTCACTATTCCTCCACATTTCTATTTGTGCGGAAAACTGTTTCGGGCATCTCAACTATCGCGACTGGACGTCTGTGAAAGATAGAACTACATAACTCTTCGGGATTCCACCAGTTTAGATACTGATTCTGATCCTGGAATTTCGAGGACGACGAAAATCAGGCCGTTCTGTGGTCCGCCGTTTCTACGCAGAAGGCAAATCAACAAAGACCATAAATTCCACCCACCGGATGTGGGTCTTTAGAGGGGGGCGGTGGGGTGGTGGTGGGGGGGGTGAGCATACTTCACCCCGTCGGTCTCAGTGCGGATTATTATAGAAGCGGGGGTAGGTGAGACAGTAGGAACAGTTATGATAGCGCCTACATTTGCTTCGATGCTTCATGCGTGGCCGGGAATCGAACTACGGGATGCCGAGTTGATAGGGCGATGCGCTAACCGTTGCCCCACCGCTCCACCCCACGCTATTTCTCATCTCGGTGTTGTCAGCGCCACCGTCCCCATGGTGTGGATCGCAAGCTGTGACAGTGATCCAAGCTCTCTCTCCAACACCACCACTGCCACACAAAGACAAAGATCCCCCGTGTAGCCTTAACACACTGTTGGGGCAAGTGCTGTTAGCGAGCACCCCACCAGGGCGACGTTTGAGACTAAACGACTTCAGGAAGGCCCAGGACCGGGTCAGATAATCGTCACCGCTTGTGACCGTGAGCGGCAAATCGCATCGCCAGGTTCGTAACACAGCGTAGCGCTAACCACTACACACCACCACAAAGACAAAGACAAAGATCCCCCGTATAGCCTGAACAGACTGTAGGGGCAAGTGCTGTTAGCGAGCACCTATGAAGGCCGGAACGGTACACGAGGGGGTAGGTGGCCAGCACCACGCCCGACCGCCTTTGTCTCCCTAGTGGCGATGTTTACACACCGCACCAGGTACTCATTTAAGGCTGAGTCGACCTAGGGGAGGCCCAGGACCGTTTCAGATAATCGTCACTGGTGTTGGCCGTGAGCGGGAATCGAACCCGGGTCGCCAGGTTCATAGCGCAGCGCG